AATGAAAAGGGGACTGCAATTTCACAATGCAACTGTTGTGTCGGTAAAGAGCAATAAGTCTCTGTTCAGGAATGGTTAGTCCTTGTAGTTGTTTTGGTATATCTCCCATCCATACTTTATTAGTAGCTGAAAATTTGGGTATTTTTTCTTTCGTCAATGCCGACCAACACTCCGTGCAAACGTCACAATGAATCAAGGAACGTTTCTTTCTATCAACAGTTTTATATAATCCTGCTCCATAGAAAAACATACCATTTATACAAGTAAATGATTGATTATTCATTGTCGATTGAACATTGCTGTCTGAAATGAAAAAAGTATCTTATCAATGCTGTAAGTTGGGGTCACGAAAAGATTAATCTACGTTTCTCTCGTTTTGATTCGAAGTGAAACCGATATCGCCATTCTTATGAAACTTACCGTTTGAATTGACGCTATTAATTTCCTGATTTTTCTGAATCATGCTGTGAAGATCGGGATGTATCTTGAGTAATTCAATCGATGGAATTTTACTTAAAGGTACATGACGAAGGTCACGCTTATAGAGACGAACATTACAGATACCACAGACACTCTCCGCTAGAGAATCCATGGACATGTGCTGTATGAAGTTCTTCAAACAGTTAATTTTGCAGTCCTATCAGCTGGTTTCGGCCAATCAACTTTGGCATCTTGATTTGGTTTTCTTTTGATTACTGTTTGCTTCTGCTTGACAGTTTTCTGAAGACGAGTTGTCTTGTAAGCTACAGTTTATTGTTGCTTGGCTTCTTCTGACACACGGGCCGCTCTTCTGGCGGCACTTCTCTCGCGAGCTAGTACTCGTTGTTCTTCAGCTTCTATCGGCGTCGCAGTAGCTCGTTTAGCCATGCTTCTGTCAACGGCAAGTGCCAGTTGTTGTTCAACCTCTTTTGGTGTTAAGGCAGCTCTTTGTGCTGCACTTCTTTCCCTTGCAAGTGTCCGTTGTCTCTCAGCTTCCTCTGGTGTAGCTGCAGCTCTCTTAGCAGTCATTCTTTCAAGGGCTTGCATACGTTTCTGTTCGACAATTGTACTTTCAACGCTAGTACAAGTCTCCGCTAATTGCAGACGGCGCTTGGTGCGAGGAGTTGTAATTTCGTTAGTTGTCATGATAACTGTTGATGGCACTTGAAATGATCGTGTTTCATCATCTTCCTGATTAAATTGAGGGATGCGTACTTGAGTAAGCGAATTATTTTTCGTTGTTGCTTTAGTTGGTGTCTGCAAGTGAAATTGTTTATTTTGTGTATAAGGTATTTTGCTATAAACTAGAACTTACCGAGCCTGAGCCAGATATTTTCGGTTGAACTAAGTGGTCTTGACTCTGAGAATTGTCTGATGGAAGCAAAAGTGGCATAAAATGATTAGGGGCCCAGTTACCAGCATTAATTCTACGTGCACCGGTTTCGCTTTCGGTATGTGCCCAAAATAGGCAAATTGCTTTGGACACAATGCTGTACCGAGGGTATTCAAAAGTACTATTCATGAAGCTTAAATGAGGTCGATAATCAATTATGGGATGTATACTTCGTATATTGCATTTGAGAACATTGCTCAATGCTGCAATTTCATAAAGTTCCGAAAATGCAAAATTGCGGGCAACGTTTTTCATGACTCCATTCAGTGGCCCAACAATATGCATAAAACGATTGTTGTAGAAAATTTCATTCTTGACGAATTCAATTAAAGTTCGTACTAAAACGAACGCTGTAAAATAATTGAATGTTAATGTTGTCAGTACGTACCTCTCAGTTCGCTAGGTGTTGATGCTGTATTTCCACTCAAGCATATGATGGAGTTATAGAGGCAATTGTCATCTGCAGCTACCTCGATTGGAATCATATTTTGAACATCCAAAGTGTTATGATCTGTGTATGTACACATAGATCATTAGCATCATCTACCTCGATAGCGATATCTTTCTTTCTCTTATTGTCCTCTACACATTATGTATTCTTCATCTCATTGGAGATAATTGAATACGAAGATATTTGTCCCTATTATTGTTTAGAGTTCTTGATTATTATTGTTAAAGTGTATGTTATCGAACCTGCTAATAAAGAAGTGAAAATACACCTTAACATAAAGATGCTTGTTATTTTTGAAATTTTCTTGTTTCTTCTTAGTTATTGACTGTTTTTTTATACAATTTATTTATTTGAAAATGAAATTCTATTTATCTGTACTCTTTTCCCTCCTCTGAAAGGAGGGTATTACGAAAAACGGGTTAAATGCGTTCGCTCGTCCAATAGGAAAGCAGACGCATACACTTAACTAACCTCAAACAGTATCCTGTAGGGATAGATTTGACCGAATGTAATTGGGGTCGGGGAACACGATGGTATTGTTGGTTTCTTGAAATTTTGCAACTCAAGCAAGTTTATAATGGATTGGGAGCTGTTCAGATTGTCGCTTTTTCGTGATAGGAATTATTTGTAGGGAAATGTTTTGATGGTATCATTCAATGATGTTTATGGTGTTAGATGTATCGTATGGCTATGTGAGATTTTATTACGAATAGGCTATAGGCATCTTGGGGTGGAATTGATTCTCAATTTGGCAACGGCTAGCCACTCAACTGCACTAAGACGCTGAGAGCGTTTTTCAAAGTCTTCAGTTTATTGTTGATATGTCAAATTTGATTGCAGCCCGAAGAATTTATTTAAACTTTACCCCTTGAATTCTAGATTAGCGTATCTACGAACGTTCGCAAACTGTGTAAGTACTCACGAATCTTGTCTTATTCTTCTCAAAATTGTGAGTAACTTATTGCATATGTAGATAAAACTGAATTAAATTAGTCCCATAACTGTTTGTTTTCGGGTTTCTTGTAAATTCTTTTTGTTTTCATCTAATAATTATATAATGAAGCGACGCTTTCAATCAATCATACAATGTTTAAAAGGACCACGTTCACCGCATATACACAGCGAAACTAGTGGAGGCGACTAGCCGCTCAGTTAAAAATCTGTTGTAATTATAAGACTGCAGGCCTTGCAGACTTATAGAATAGTTACACGTTGTCTCGATCAGAAGAGTTGAAACAATTTTCGAAAATAGGAAATATCTTCAAGTTCTTCCAAAGAAAGATCGCGAAATAATTGCTCAACTCGTGTGAAATATTTGAAATTTATATATTTCGTGATTATCTTAATAGGTTTAGTTTTTCCTGATTGCGAGTCGATTTGATTCAAAAGATGTAAATCTCAGATTTATCTATCTGCGAACGTGCACCCGAGAATGAATATATGCATTCTTGGCGGGAAACGCACCGAAACAAAATGAAACCACATGAGGCTGAGCAAAAAATTAGGACAAATCTCACCGAAATCGAGTTAGAAAAAGTCAGTTTGATGTAATCTCTGATCTACTCGTGCATATTCATGTTAAATATCTAGTTGATAGACCAATTTGAGTTGTAACTTTACTAAAATGGGGGTATTTCGATCATAACTCTCCTGAATGGGTCTTTTACTTCACTCCGTTATGAAGTTGATCGAAAGTTTTTCGGAGCATAGCTTGAGCTATAGCAGATCGGATGCACTTAACTTCACTATCGCCATATAGTATTAGAGTATTAGTAAATAGTAATTAAATGCCGTTTTCTTGGTGATCCTTCCAAGCAAGTTTTCTATTTATGCTCGGTTATCAATCGTGTTTCCATGAAAATCATTTCGAAGCTATAATATGTGAAGCCTCTTAGCTAGGTAGTTTCCGATAGCTACATTCTACATGACTAAATCCTTTCAGTAGAGGGTTGGCGACGCTAACGTCGCGTTACCTTGTTCATTTGCTATCAAAATACAAGTACACCAATATCATCATTCCGTCAGTCTAGGGACCAGTGAATCGACGTTCGACGTCGATGAGCGTTACTTGTCGGTAGAAGTGTTCCATTTCTTGATGTATTCATTCAGAACAGTAATGGAGCTTTAAAAACATCAGTGTATCATAAAGAAGCAGCTGAGCCGTATGTCGTACCATTTGGATCAGATCATCCTGATCATGTTTTTCGAAACACCGTTGATACTGCTATTACAAGAACAGTTCGTTATTCAACAACCTTGTCTCAATTCGAAGAAGAAATACGACAAATTAAACTCATGTTTCTCTATAATGGGTAAGTTTCAGGTATTCATTCACATTTCTCATTCTTTGTATATGACTTATAGTTCTCCGCCAAGACATATCGATTGGCGACTCACCAAATTATTCAGTAAATATTTATCCAAGCATTTCATTTTGCCTATGCTCCAATACTCTGGTGACTTTGGCTATTTGCGTCATCAGTTATTGAGAACACCAACACATGGAGAATACGATAAAACAGCCGACAACTTAATTATCTATAATCAAACTCGCGACAAAAATATCCAAAATCAGGTTATGAAACCCGTACATAACAACGAATTAACAACCAGAAAACGTCTCATCGTTCATCAAAGACATGAAAAACGACTCGGACACAGTCATCGACATATTCGCGAATTGTGGAGTAGCACTTTTCATCAAACAGAGATCATGAATACTGTTCTGATCATTGGAACTTATCTGAATCACAACTTAAAACAAGAATTGATGGCCAATATGATAAAACGTATCCCAGGTGCAAGAAGCGACCAACAGAGCAAAACGCAACCTGAGACTGGTAAAGAAACACAATCCTCAAGCAGCGCTAACCAGCCACTGCCTTAACTGATTTAGAATTTTATGTTGTCATTTATAAATATATAAAACAATACTCAATTGAAAAGAACATATGAAATGTAACAGTAGATCTGAAAAACAAACATACCTGCAACTAAGGCACACAAAATCATCGCCAAATTAGCTCCTTCAATAACAGCATCGTCACAAATGTGCATATGATTACACACCTACAACTATCATCATAAAATAATCTCACTATTCAAATTTCCAATAAACTAACACATCATACCAATACAGAAAATAAAATTATTAGCTCCTTACCTTCATCAGCTATTTCTTAGAAACAAGCAAGCTCAGAATACTCTCTGCAAAGATGCAGTCAAAAATACTTCCAAAGTAACGATCAGTCATTTCCAACATAATTCATTCACAAATATTTTCCACATGCTAATATAAACGAACCGTCAATGATATCTCTCACTTACAATTCACCTTTGAATCAGAAAACATCCTACAAAGGAATGCAACAAGAAAAACATATATGTGATTTTCGACTCATTGGAACACTGATGTCAGATAAAACTACCCCATGATATCCTTAAGCAAAGTCGGAACGCGTCATGGTTGCGATTCAAACACACCCACACCCACACCCTTCTTATAGAAATATTGAAAATCTTTTGAGTAAATTGGCATTCCATCAGTAAAA